CAATGCCTTCTGGCCTTCACAGTGGACATTGGCATATAAAGCTTACAAACACCTTCACCCTTGCAAGGAGGATGATATGGAATCTTCACATTCTACTGCATGGCACCAATTGTGCTGTTTTAACAACAATGACTGTGCAGAAATCAAGCCAGTGCTTTTTTCCTCCAAGCTTTGGACAAAGCATGTTTTATGACAAAAATAATCCCTCTGGCTCACATGTCCTCTCAGGCTTCCCACTGCTCTCCCACACAGCCTCTCGCTCCGAGAAGCGAGTCCCCTCCCGCTAATGACAATCCTTTGGGCAGACCCAGAACTTGTTTCCAGAGACTGAAATAACATTTCCAACGGGGCGGTGCCACCAGATTTGCTGAGCTGTTTTGTGGCCCGTAGTGAGCTGATCTGTGCTGGATAAATTATCTTCCCTGGGAGTGACGGGAACTTCTTTTTGAGACAAACGAATTTGGAAATATTAGATAAGGAGGAAATAGTGATATAACTTGTTTTTTCTAGTACTGAAAGATGCCACCTCTGTACTTAACTACATAGAGTAAGAAACATTCAGGAAAGTATATATTTTTATAGCATTGAAGTTAACCATTGAAGAGGGATTTATTAAGTGCTTACTATTAGGCAGTATGAGAATTTGTTTAAAGTATTAGATACCCCAAAATCCTATTCAAAAAGCCACAAATATGATTCTAAAATATGTAAACAGCGGCCGGGCGCGGTGGCTCAAGCCTGTAATCCCAGCACTTTGGGAGGCCGAGGTGGGCGGATCACAAGGTCAGGAGATCGAGACCATCCTGGCTAACACGGTGAAACCCCATCTCTACTAAAAAATACAAAAAACTAGCCGGGCGAGGTGGCGGGCGCCTGTAGTCCCAGCTACTCAGGAGGCTGAGGCAGGAGAATGGCATAAACCCAGGAGGCAGAGCTTGCAGTGAGCTGAGATCCGGCCACTGCACCCCAGCCTGGGCGACAGAGCAAGACTCCGTCTCAAAAAAAAAAAAAATATGTAAACAGCAATGCTAGTAAACAAATGAAGGTATAATGTAATTTGGCCCAAGAAACCCACACATTCAGAGCTTAGAGAAAATATATTATTTTTCCCCCCTTTCTGGCTTTTACAGCCTTATTAAAACAAAACAAAAAAAATCTGGTGACTGAGGATTCAAATTAAAAAAAAAAAAAAATGAAAGAAAAAAAATTTTAATTCCAAAGCATGAACCCCTCACTGAAGCCACTGAATACTCTCATCCACACCAAAACTTCAAAAGTTAACACTGTCTCGCACAGTTTGTCCCATCCTTGAGCGGCAGAGCGACTCACCGTCTGCAGCCAGGCCTGGACGGCACCGCTGGTCCTAAGTCCCTGAGTCTTCAGGTCTCAGTCTACCCAGCCAGAGACGACCGCTGTGCGTCCTCCGTCAGACGGCAAAGCCACGACTTTGTGCCCACCTACAGAACTTCAGTTAGTCTTGGGAATCTGAAATCATTCATTTTATTTAGCAAAGTGTTTTCAGTTCCTTCAGGATTGTGCTTGCCTAAACCATCTGCTTTGAGTGAGTTGTAAGGACTCAGGTACGAAGCACCTTAAATATCCCAGGCTCAGGGGGTTTTGAACAGGCCCTGCAGGCCGGCGGAGACCCTCTCCTCTTCCCCAGACAGCAGCGCTGTGGACCTCGCTGAGCTGGTGTACCCGTCATCCCCAGCCCTTCTCCGGGAAACCCCTTCTGTAAGAAACAAATTTCTCACTTCCCCAGCACCTAAGTGCCATCATTCTGTCTGATGAGATGAAAGTGGAAATATCTCCATCTTCTGGGGAAAGCTTTCATTTTCTTGGTAAAAGGAAAAACGCTGCTGCTGCGACTTCTGTGTTCCCGGCTTCAACCCTGAACTGGGGCCCGGTGCCTGAAGATGCAGGGGAGGGCTCAGACCGTGAGCAACTCCAGCTCACTGCAGTGGGTGGAATAGAACATTATCCGGCCTCTGCACCAGTCCTGGACTGCTCACCCTGACTTCTACAAGAAAAAGAAATCCCTTTTTGGTAAGTCACAGTAAGTTGGGGTTTCTGTTACTTAAAAATAGACGTATACCTGCCGGGCGCAGTGGCTCATGCCTGTAGTCCCAGCACTTTGGGAGGCCGAGGCGGGCGAATCACTTGAGGTCGGGAGTTCAAGACCAGCCTGGCCAACATGGAGAAACCCTATCTCTATTAAAAATACAAAATTAGCCAGGCGTGGTCGCACATGCCTGTAATCCCAGCTACTCGGGAGACTGAGGCAGGAGAATCGCTTGAACCCAGGAGGCAGAAGTTGCGGTGAGCCAAGATCACACCACTGCACTCTAGCCTGGGCAGCAAGAGTGAAACTCCGTCTCAAAAACAAACAAAAAACAGACCTACACCTAACGGATAGGGAATTTGGTATCTGAAAGCCAGTGGCGCCAGGAAACAGACACTAATGTATGGCGTTGCCTAAGAGGAGGTCCAGTGGTGGGGCGGGGACCCAACTCCTTCAGCCTGGAAAATCAGGGTCCTACTTGGTGGTAAATGATCAGTTTCATGCTCACCTGTTGTGAGACCTAGACACTAAAGCTGTAGCGTAAAACAGTGGTTCCCAAACCTTTCTGCACCAGGGACCAATTTTGTAGAAGACCGTTTTCCACGTACCAGGGTTGAGGGATGGTCTGGGGATGATTCAGGCGCATTACATTTATGGTGCACTTCATTTCTATTATTATTACATTGTAATATGCAATGAAATAATTAAACAACTCACCATAATGTAGAATCAGTGGCAGCCCTGAGCTTGTTTTCCTGCAACTAGGGCCAGCCTCCAGGAGACAGAAGGGGAGGTGGGCAGGTCACCAGGGCCAGCCTCTGGGAGAGGGAAGGTGTTAGGTTGGATGATGTGTGGAGAGAAGGCCTTTGCTGTGGCTGCTCAAGCATGCGACCAAATAGAATAGACCAGGAATTTACAACTGTGTAAGGTAATTACATTGTCCCAGAAACCAAAGGGTGCAGTGGCTCACTCCTATAATCCCAGCACCTTGGGAGACCAAGGTGGGAGGATCACTTGAGCCCAGGAGTTTGAAACCAGCCTGAGCAACATGGTGAGAGCCCATCTCTAAAAAAAAATAAAATTAACTGGGTGCAGTGGCACGTGCCTGCTGTGGTCCCAGCTATGCAGGAGGCTGAGGTGGGAGGATCACCTGAGCCCCGGAGGTCGAGGCTGTAGTGAGCTATGATTGCACTGCTGCACTCCAGCCTGGCCAACAGAGTGACAGCCTATCTCAAAAACAGCAACAAAGAAGCCCTCAGGCTGGCTAACAGTAACTCCTGTCTGTTCAGGCCATGAAGCCATCTGCAGCTCCTGAACCCATACTCAGGAACCGAATCGCAAAACCCTACGTTCTCCATCAAGCATGTCCTGCCCTGGGCCCTCCTTAGATGAGGCCGTGGAGGACCCTCCCAGAGACCGTGGAAGTCAGTGGGAAGGTCTGACACGAGGTGCCAGGCTGGCTCACCGGGAGCTCGCTCTATCGCCAGGGCAGGGAGACGTCACTGCTCCTTTCAGCGGGATCTCGTGTGTGACTCGTTTTGTCTTCCCATCCTCTGAGTTTCTGAAGGGGGATTTTTATTGCAATGATCTATTTCCTCTTCCACCATTCCTTGTTAGATGTGTTGATGGTGGACTACTTATCTTTGGGCTCTAGCTGTTGGGATCACGAGGAGCTCCCTCTGGACCCCAAGGGGACACCTGCATGTCATCTGGAGACGCAGGACTCGGGCAGTTGGATGCCATGGCTCGGGTGGTCTTGAGGGTGGTCCTCCAAGCCTTTGGCGGGGGCAGTGTGTTGTCTAGAAAGAGGTGCACTGGGGCTGACCTGGGAAAAGTCCAACCCGATTCTCATTCCCAAACCCTTTCGTGTATTTAATTTTTCAGAAACATTCCAGCTGCTCGCTCTCTCAGCACCACTTTGCAGCTAATCAAGAAGACATAAGCAGACATCCACTGGGGGCGCGGGGGGCATTCTGGGAGTGCCTAGCCTTCCGGATTAAAGAGACATATGCTGCTGCCCGAATCCCAAATGCAGCGTGATGCCTGCCACTACCGCAGCCTGGCTGCAGCCTTGGGGAAGAGGGTGCGGGAGCTACAGAGGCTGTCCTTGACATGATTCAGCCTCCAAAGCAGGATTAACTGCTGCTGCCTCCAGACCTTCCTGTTTTGTGAGAAAAACAAATCCCAATGTGTTTCAGCCTCCGTGAGTCAGGTTCTCATTTACATGTAGCCGAAAGCATTTCTGAAGTGTGCAAACACACTCGAGAGATAAGATTCTAACCCATCAGCAAAAACCATCAGGTGAAGTTGATGAACCTGTTTCAGTCAACACTGGTTTCAACTTAGTGATCTTCCCAGGGGGTGAGATTTGGGGTGCACTGAGGTGGCCTCCCTATCCAAAATAATTCCAGCAGTCTTGTTATTGATGCCTGAACTTCTACATGCAGAGCCACACACAATCTGTGTGGTATCTACACACACTCACACACAGCTGTTAGGAGGGGCCTGGACAGCCAGGGGTGAGGACAGCAGCACGGGAGATTGGGACAGAAAGCCGGGCTGTGGTTTCACGCATTGCAGATCCTATATCCCAGAAGCCATTTCTTTTTCTTTTTCTTTCTTTGTTTTGTTTTGTTGGTTGGTTGTTTGGTTTGGTTTTTTGTTTTTCTTTTCTGAGTCAGAGTCTTGTCCTGTCACCCAGGCTGGAGTACAATGGCACGATTTCAGCTCACTGCAACCTCTGCCTCTCTGGTTCAAGTGATTCTCCAGCCTCAGCCTCCCAAGTAGCTGGGATTACAGGTGTGCACCACCATACTTGGCTAATTTTTGTATTTTTAGTAGACACAGGATTTCGCCATGTTGGCCAGGCTGGTCTTGAACTCCTGACCTCAGGTGATCTGCCTGCCTCGGCCTCTCAAAGTGTTGGAACTATAGATGTGAGCCACCATGCCCGTTACAAATCTATTTGTAACAGATTTCACTTTCAGAAAATTTCTCCATATAATCCAAATCGTTCATTTTCCAGTACAGACCTCTTTCCTCTTAGCATTCTGTTCTTGATGACTTAGAAGTGTCTTTTCTCTTTATATCATTTGCACGTCACTCCTTCCTGTCTCCGGCTTCTTCCCAGCCCTCCTCCTCCTTTGCACACAGGAAACCTCATTCTGTGGTGTGAACAGGGGGATTCCCATCTTCCTGAAACGACTTAGTCTTGAGCTGCCTGTGCCCTTCCCATCGCAGTGAATGTTGCCAGTTGGGGATGACTGGGCAGCCATGGGGAAGGTGAGCAGAGGGCAGAGGAGTCCAAGCCCCTGAGGTGGGGGTGGGAGCAGGGAGGGCTGCAGGCTCAGCTGCTGGGGCACGAGGAGGAGAGCTAGGACCTGGGGGAGTGTGTGTGTGAGAGAGTGTGTGTGTGTGTATGTGTGAGAGTGTGTGTGTGAGAGTGTGTGTGAGTGTGTGTGAGAGTGAGTGTATGTGTGAATGTGTGTGTGTGTGTGAGAGTGTGTGTGTGTGAGTGTGTGAGAGTGTGTGAGTGTGTGAGAGTGTGTGTGAGATTGTGTGTGAGTGTGTGTGTGAGACTGTGTGTGTGTGTGAGACTGTGTGTGTGTGTGTGAGTGAGTGTATGTGTGAATGTGTGTGTGTGTGTGAGAGTGTGTGTGTGAGTGTGTGTGTGTGAGTGTGTGTGAGTGTATGAGTGTGTGTGAGAGAGTGTGTGTGTGAGATTGTGTGTGAGTGTGTGTGTGAGTGTGTGTGTGAGTGTGTGTGTGAGAGTGTGTGTGTGGTGGGTCAGTGGGGAGCGGGGGAGTCTTTTATCTTTACCACTTGTTTGCCTGATTAGCCTACTTTTCTCGGTTTCTAGGGAAAGACCAAAAAAAATTTTTCCTTTCTCTGAGACAGGGAGTACAGCACGTGGCATCAAGAGTGCAGCAGAGGGCCAGGCGCAGTGGTTTATTCACGCCTGTAAACCCAGCACTTTGGGATTCTGGGGCGGGGGGGGCAGATCACCTGAGGTCAGGAGTTCCAGACCAGCCTGGCCAACATGGGGAAACCTCATCTCTACTAAAAACACCAAATTAGCCAGGCATGGTGGCACCTGCCTGTAATCCCAGCTACTCGGGAGGCTGAGGCAGGAGAATCACTTGAACCTGGGAGGCGGAGGTTGCAGTGAGCTGAGATTATGCCATTGCATTCCAGCCTGAGCAACAAGAGTGAAACTCTGTCTCAAAAAAAGAAAAAGTAACGAAAAGAAAAAAAAAAAAAGATTGCAACAGAAGCGCAGGGCACCCTGCGGATCCCTGCAGCCTCTCACCTTCAACTTCTGTGCTGCGATCCAACAATTCCCTTCCCATTTGACTGTCAGATCAGAAGGGTCTTTGCTAATTTCAGTCTAAATCGGGAGAAAGCTGACCTCGATTTAGCTGGAATGACAGTGATGACTAATTTGTACACCAGATTTAATAAAGCTAGCTCTTCCCCCATGGGGAGAGACAGATGATGTGGGTTTCTCGCATCTGCACTAACTGAGATTGCTTTCTGGCAAGGGTAGAGAAACGCTAATTCTCCACACTCCCAGGAGGGGGTTCTGCTGACAGCTCCTGGACTGTCACCTGAATTGGGGTGTGACTGGGCCAGGGATGTCCCAAGCCAACCAGCCAGGCACCTGCACAGGTGGGCTCTTGACCCTTTGAGGCCACTGTGGTCTTTGAAGGAAAGTCAGTAGGTCTGGAAACTAGAGTGGTGGGGACCCCTTCCCCGTGGGGGGCCAGGAGCTCCTGTTATAAGAGCTCCAACAGGCCTCCGTATTTTCTGTCCCTTTTACAGGCAAGAATTCAATTCTGGGTCCTGAGCAGGGGTTGTCCTGGTCAACAAGCAACTTCAGTTCCTTGGGACAGGACCCCAGACTTGCTGGTATGACGTCATTGTTTCTTTACTGGGTAAGTCTCTCTTAACCCTGGAAAAGCCTGTTTACACAGAGAAGCGTGAAACAAACTCTTATTTTTGATATTTTGGGGTTACGTTTAGGTGATCTGTACGTACTTGATATTTTAAGAAGTTGCTGTTTTAAGAGAATGTGGCATATTTTAACTTGTAATTTTAAATGCAAAGAATGGACTGGCCTCTTGATTACAACTAAAAATATGTAATTGGGTAATTGGTGTAGATTTGTGATTTAAACTCAGATATTCAATGCCAGTTTATTAAGATTGTAGGCAGTATGGGAACATTTAAGAAAACCAGAGGTTCACTATAGTTAGTTGTTAAGCACTTGAGAATGCTTGTGAGTAAATTGAAGTATTTAAAAGTATAAAGTATTAATATTATAAATGCAGTTTAAAAATTTTAAGGCAGCAGGTGCAGTGGCTCATGCCTATAATCCTAGCACTTTGGGAGGCTGAGGCGGGTGGATTGCCTGAGCTCAGGAGTTCGAGACCAGCCTGGGCAACATGGTGAAACCCCGTCTCCACTAAAATACAAAAAATTAGCCAGGCATGGTGGTGCACGACTATAGTCCCAGCTACTCGGGAGGCTGAGACAGGAAAATCGCTTGGACCCAGGAGGTGGAGGTTGCAGTGAGCAGAGATCGCGCCACCGCATTCTAGCCTGGGTGACAGAGCAAGACTCTGTCTTAAAAAAAAAAAAAAAAAAAAAAAAAATTCAAGGACATTTAAATAAGTAAATTTCTGAATAGGAACAGTCATCAAAGTTTTCCTTAACAATGGCGGTTCAATGTTTTCTGTATTATAAAATAAAGTTATACATGGATGGAGCTGGAGGCCATTATCCTAAGCGAACTAACACAGGAACAGAAAACCAGATGCCGCATGTTCTTGCTTATCAGTGGGAGCTAAACACTGAGGACACAAGGACACAAAGGAGGGAACAACAGATACTGGGGCCTCCTTGAGGGTGGAGGGTGGGAGGAGGGTGAGGACCAGAAAGCTGCCTGTCAGCCAGGCGTGGCGGCTCACACTTGTCATCCCAGCACTTTGGAAGGCTGAGGCGGGCAGACTACTTGAGCTCAGGAGTTTGAGACCAGCCTGGGCAACATACTGAAACCCCATCTCTACAAAAACTTAAAATTAGTCAGATGTGATAGTGCCTGCCCGTGGCCCCAGCTATTAGGGAGGCTGAGGTGGGAGGATTGCCTGAGGTAGAGGCTGCAGTGAGCTGTGATCATGACACTGCACTCCAGCCTGGGTGACAGAGCAAGACCCTGCCTCAAATTAAAAATAATAATTACAATAATAATAAAGAAGGCTACCTATTGGGTACTATGCTTATAATTTAGGTAACAAAATAATCTCTACACCAAACCTCTGTGACATACAATTTACCTGTATAACAAATCTGTACATGTATCCCTGAACCTAAAATAAAAGTTAAAAATAAATAAATGAGGCCGGGTGCGGTGGCTCAAGCCTGTAATCCCAGCACTTTGGGAGGCCGAGGTGGGCGGATCACAAGGTCAGGAGATCGAGACCATCCTGGCTAACACCGTGAAATCTCGTCTCTACTAAAAAATACAAAAAACTAGCCGGGCGTGGTGGCGGGCGCCTGTAGTCCCAGCTACTCGGGAGGCTGAGGCAGGAGAATGGCGTGAACCCGGTGGGTGGAGCTTGCAGTGAGCCGAGATCGCGCCACTGCACTCCAGCCTGGGGCACAGAGCAAGACTCCGTCTCAAAATAAAAAATAAATAAAATAAAATAAATAAATAAATAAATGTAGGAGTGCAAAAGCCTTATTGAAAAAAAAAGATTGGCCGGGCGCGGTGGCTCAAGCCTGTAATCCCAGCACTTTGGGAGGCCGAGACGGGTGGATCACAAGGTCAGGAGATCGAGACCATCCTGGCTAACACGGTGAAACCCCGTCTCTACTAAAAAATACAAAAAAACTAGCCGGGCGAGGTGGTGGGCGCCCGTAGTCCCAGCTATTCCGGAGGCTGAGGCAGGAGAATGGCGTGAACCCGGGAGGCGGAGCTTGCAGTGAGCTGAGATCCGGCCACTGTACTCCAGCCTGGGCGACAGAGCGAGACTCCGTCTCAAAAAAAAAAAAAAAAAAAAAGATAAAGTTAAGAATAAATAAATAGGCTGGGCACAGGCCGGACGTGGTGGTTCACGCCTATATTCCCAGCACTTTGGGAGGCTGAGGCAGGCAGATCACCTGAGGTCAGGAGTTTGGGACCAGCCTGGCCAACATGGTGAAACCCCATCTCTACTAAAAATACAAAAATTAGCCAGGCGTGGTGGCACATGCCTGTAATCCCAGCTACTCGGGAGGCCCAGCAGGAGATTCGCTTGAACCTGGGATGTAGAGGTTGCAGTGAGCCGAGATCGCACCACTTCACTCCAGCCTGAGCTGGAGAAAATCTGTTTTGTTAAGCAGGAGAATCTATTTTGTTAAGCAGGAGAATCGCTTAAACCTGGGAGGCGGAGGTTGCAGTGAGCTGGGAGTGTGCCACTGCTCTCTAGCCTGGGCGACAGAGCGACACTTTGTCTCAAAAAGAAAAAAGAAAAAAGAGTCATTTGCTCCTCACATTTGGCCACTAATGAACATGGCGTACATGTTACAGGTGAGGAAACAGGTGAAGGAAGGGCGTGCCCGGAGCAGAGGCCCAGCCCCACCCCAACGGCCTGGCTCTCCTGCCTGGTTAATTTGGCCTCTAAAGCATCCTTATTACAGGCGAAGTGCAGCCCCACCACAGAGAATCCCTTTTCTCTCTGGAAATGCTTATGTGATTAATCTGAAGTCACCATGACTTTGATTTCCTCTGCAGAGGACAGCAGCGTGTTCCAGGAACGCAATGCAGTAGAAAGCAACCACTTGGCCCTAGAGACCGAGACTGATTTCTGGGAAAGAGGCAGCCAGGCTCCTCCGCCTTACGCAGGTCGTGAAGACTCAGTACACTGAGATCGAAGGTCCTCAGTTCCTAGCTAAGCAAGCCTCCAAGGACTGTGACATCCCAACCTTCAGACGAGGATGGAGGCGGGAGGAGACACAGCACTGGCCAGGAGACCTGGGGTTGGGGCTCTGTCCCTGGTCTGGCTCAGCAATCAGGGCAAGTGACTACCCTGGCTGAGGCCAGCTTTGTCGGCAGTGAAATGGGTGAACGCTGCCTCTGCTTGAATCAAGAGTTTGTCAGGATGCTATGGGAAAATTATATGAAGGTTCTCTGTAACATTTAAAAAAAAAAAGGCCTGTTGCATATTTGTCAGGGGCTGGACTTTCTGAGAGCAGGCAGACAGGGAACAGCTGAGCATGCTTGAGGGCTCTGGTGTCTTCAGGGCCTCCGTCACCCGTGTGACACTGTCCTTGGCTCAGTGGGCTGTGGAGGCCCCAAGTGACGCTGTGAACAGCTGGCAAGAGACTTCCCCCGACTCTGCAGCCTCCCTGCGACTTCTCGTCCCTTGTGAAGGAAGGGGTGGCTGCCTGACCTGTTGGTCCTGGGCACTGTCCTGCTCCCCTGGTTGTGGAGCTGCCAGGATGGCGGGACAATCAACACAATGCTCCCCTTCTTCTGTCGGGGACATCTCCACAGAGAAGAAAAGAGTGTCTCCCTAGAGAGAAATCCTGATGTCTGAAACTTCGGCTGAGTGGAGGAGAAAGGATAACTCATCACATTTCCTCAGAGCCAGGGCAGCATGTAGGAGTTGCGTTTCGAGGGGAGGATGATCCAGGAGAGAAAGGGTGCGCACAGCACACCAGCTGTGCTAGGGCCGGGCCAGGCGGACCATGGGGCTCTGGGGAGCCCATTGCCCCCACCAGCAGCCTGCTGCTGTGTGCGCCTCCCCCCAGGTGCTCAGCTTGGCTTTGACCTAGCAGTTGCCGGGAGGGGCTGTGCAGATGGAATTAAGGTCCCCATGAGCTGATTGCAAGATGGGAGACTGCTGGGGGCCTGAGTCCTTTAAGGCAGAGAGCTTTCTCCTGCAGGACCCGGAAGAAGACATCAGTGTTCAAAGCACGAGAAAGATCCAACCTGCCCTTGCCCCCGTGGAAAGAGGAGCCAGGTGTCATGGAACAAGGGTGGCCTCTAGGATTGACCCCGCTGACAGCCAGTGAGGAAATGGGGACCCGATTCCCACTCCACAGGAACTGAATTCTGCCAACAAGGAGGAGCTGGGAAGTGGTGTTTTCTCCAGAGGTTTCCGATGAGAACTCAGCCAGTTAGCACCTTGATCTCTGCTGGGCGAGGTCTGTGCAGAGCCACAGCCAGGCAATGTGACTTCTAACCTTCAGAATCGGGAGCTAATGAAGGCATGGGGCTTAAACCACAAAATGTGTGTGTGTGTGTGTGTGTGTGTGTATGTATGTTTTAAAGAACACTACATAGCAATAGAAAATAAACAAACATCCCCTCCATTAAACTGCACATTTATTGAAAGGTCAGTAGATGTAAATGAGCATATCTGTGTCTTCCTTCCCGAAAGCATTTTTGTTTGTTTGTTTGTTTGTTTGTTTTAGAAACACAGTCTCACTCTGTTGCCCAGGCTAGAGTGCAGTGGGGCGATCTCGACTCACTGCAACCTCCACCTCCCTGGTTCAAGTGATTCTCCTGCCCCAGCCTCCTGAGTAGCTGGGACTACAGGTGCGCACCACCACACCTGGCTAGTTTTTGTATTTTTAGTAGAAACGGGATTTCACCATGTTGGCCAGGTTGGTCTTGAACTCCTGGCCTCAGGTGATCTGCCTGCCTTGGCCTCCCAAAGTGCTGGGATTACAAACATGGGCCACCGTGCCGGCCCTGAAAGCATTTATTTTGAAGCAATTTCAAACTGAAAAACACCTCTATCCCCTTCTCCCACACTGACCAGTTGTCTATGTATTTGCTAAATAATTCTGTGTGTGTGTCACGTGCGAGTGCATATTTTTTTCTGAGCCATCTGAGCCCATTTACCCCTACAAATGAACATCAAGCCCATTTACTCCTACAAAGAAAGATATTCACTTATATAATCACATAAAAAATTCAACCTTGATGAAATGTCTATTCTATAGACCTAATCTGAAGTATGAATATGCCCACGTTACAGATGGACAAACTAAGGTAGAAAAGTTACATGCCTTACCCAAAGCCACACAGATGGTAAGTGGCAAAAGCAGGTTTCACTTTGAAATCCCGGGCTCTTTTCCTTGTGTTCCATCTGTTTCGATTGGGGTCCAGTCGGAACAAGAGAAACCACTCTGGGTGTTTCGAAGAGCAGAGATTTAATAATATAGGAAGCCCTGTAAGTGTGGGAAGCCACAGCCATTCCTCTGGGGGACTCAGAGAGGGGAATGGTGTCACCCAACAGCCCAAGAATGTGCTCAGCACCCCAGCTCTCAAAGCTTCAGGAAGGGGGAGCCCCCCTCCAGCGGCTGCTGGGCAGGAACCTAGGAGCGGCCTCCTGCACCCCGGGCTGACCTGCCGGAGCCTGGAGTCAGCAGCTTCCCATCACTGCTCGAGCGAAATGGGGGTCTGAAATCACAGCTTCGCCGTCAGCTACTGGGGGACCTGCACGAGTCACTTAGCCTCCGAAGGCCGCATTCCTCTGTAAAATGGGGCATCTGGTTTAGATGAGCTGTAAGATTCATTCCAGTTCTGAAATGATTAATTCTTCCCTCATTGTGTTCTTTGACTTTGAACAACTCATGCCTCTGTTTTGCACCTCCTCTTTTTCGGTATCTCATGTAACACTCACAGCCACCCCGGGGGTAGGTGTTGTTATTGTCTCCACTTTACAGATGAGGAAACTGAGGCACAGTGAGGCCAAGGAGCTTGCATATGAAGTCACATAGCTGTGAGGGGTGGCAGCCCCCAGATTATGTCACCAATGCAGCCTAAGACGCGGCAGAAAATGCTTCAGGGATGAGGCCAGGTGTGGTGGCTCATACCTGTAATCCCAGCACTTCGGGAGGCCAAGGCAGACAGATCACTTGAGCCTAAGAGTTCACGACCAGCTTGGGCAACATGGTGAAACCCCGTCTCTACCAAAATACAAAAAATTAGCTGGGCGTGATGGCACATACCTGTGGTCCCACCTATCTGGGAGGCTGAGATGGGAGGATCGCTTGAGCCCAGGAGGTTGAGGCTGCAGTGAACTGTGATCATGCCACTGCATTCCAACCTGGGCAACAGTCCTGTCTCAAAAAAAAAAAAAAAAAAAAAAAAAAAAAAGAAGAAGAAGAAGAAGAAAATGCAGCAGTGACAAGAAACTCCTGGTCACTCAGCACAGGCTTTTCCTGAGGACAGAGATATGTGGTGAGAGCCTGTACAGCCCTGCCTGTAGAACAAGAGCTGTTCCATCTCAGCTTCATCTAGAAAGGCGATGTTTCCTACAGATTTTCGTTTTAAGTGTGGAGCAGAGGACCATACTGTATAAACAGCAAATCAGAAAAATTAAGCATACTGTTTTAGTGAAAGAAAACAGATTTTCGCGTGTCTCTCTGTTGCCCAGGCTGGAGTGCAATGGCATGATCATGACTCACTGCAGCCTCAACCTCCCAGGCTCAAGCCATCCTCCCTCCTCAGTCTTCCGAGTGGCTGGGATTCCAGGCGTGCACTGCCACCACACCCAGCTAATTTTTAACATTTTCTGGTAGAGATGGAATCTTGCTATATTGCCCAGGCTGTCTTGAACTCCTGGCCTCAAGTGATCCTCCCGCCTTGGCCTCCCAAAGTGCTGGAATTACAGGCATGAGCCACTGTACCTGGCCAATCTGAGAATGCATCCTCGTGGTTAAATGACTTATGACTTTATCCTTCACTCAGATTCCCTAAATGTCAGATAACCACAGCACAATTATCAAAATGTGAGAATTCATAACTCTCTAATAATAAGTTAAAAATAATTAACTTACATGTCATCAACTGTGCTATGAATATCCTTTTGGGGGTTCAGGATCAGTCCAGGGGTCCCCCAGTGCGGTTGTTGGTCATCATGTCTCTTCAGTCTCCTTAAATGTGGAACGCTTCCTCCACCCCGCTTTGTCTTTCGTGATTTGGACATTTCTGAGGACGTCCTGGCTGGGTATTTTGTTGCACATCCCTTATTTTAGGTGTCTCGTGTTGCCTTGTGATTAGAGTCAGGGTATGCATTTTTGGCAGGAATACCACAGATGTGACTCGGTATCCTTTTCTATGAACTGTGTCGGGAAGGACGTGACGTTGATTCCGCCCATTCCTGGTGAGGTCTGCCAGATTTCTCCCCTATAAAGTTACCATTTTCCCCTTTGTAATGGATAATTATCTGGTGGGGAGATGCTTTGAGTCTGTCCATATCCTGTTTCTCATGATATTTTGCCCACTAATTTTAACATCCACTGATGATTCTTCCCTGAAACAAGTACACTGTGGCATTTGCCAAATGGTGATTTTGCTAGTTCCATGATTCCTCCTACATGTATTGGTTGGAATTTTACTGTAAGGAAAAGTTTTCTCTCTTCCCTCATTCATTCATTCATCTATTTATTTAAATCAGTATGGGCTTAAGATTCTTCTTTAATTCCATGGGTCACAATCTGTCTACTACCATAATTTATCTTGTTCTTCAGATTGTCCCAGAAGAGCCCCCTCAGGTCAGCCCTGGTGTATTTGGGACACGTCCCCATCATTTTGGGGCACCACAGATGCTCCCGGCTCATTTTGTGCTTTCCCGCCCTAACCCTCTAACCCTCTGAGGTCTCCTGGTTCCTTTAATTGCAGGATGGTATTCAGAATACCAAGACCTGGGAGGTAGATGCACTCATTTACTTTTTCTTTTTTTTGAGACAGAGTCTTGCTCTGTTGCCCAGGCTGGAGTGCAGTGGTGCAATCTTGGCTCACTGCAAGCTCCGCCTCCTGGGTTCATGCCATTCTCCTGCCTCAGCCTCCCGAGTAGCTGGGACTACAGGCGCCCGCCACCGCACCTGGCTAATTTTTTGTAATTTTAGTAGAGACGGGGTTTCACCGTGTTAGCCAGGATGGTCTCGATCTCCTGACCTCGTGATCCACCCGTCTCGGCCTCCCAAAGTGCTGGGATTACAGGCGTGAGCCACTGCGCCCGGCCACTTTCTTTTTTTCTTCTCTCTTTCTTGTTTGCTTGCTTTCTTGCTTTCTTGCTTCTTTTGAGACAGAGTCCTGCTCAGGCTGGAGGGCAATGGTGTAATCTCGGCTCACTGTAGTCTCTGCCTCCTGGGTTCAAGTGATTCTCATGCCTCAGCCTGCTGAGTAGCTGGGATTACAGACGTGTGCCACCACGCCCAGCTAATTTTTGTATTTTTAGTAGAGACAGGGTTTCACCATGTTGGCCAGGCTGGTCTCAAACTCCCGACTTCAGGCGATCCACCTGCCTCAGCTTCCCAGAGGGCTGGGATTACAGGTGTGAGCCACTGCGCCCGGCTTCATTTACTTACTTTCCATGTTCATGGTTCTCTCTGATGCTGTGGATCATGAATCCTTTCACAGTCATATGCATGTGCGTGCACACGCACACAGGAATGGTCTAGGAACCCATGCCCAGCAGGTGGGGTTTCTCTCAGCAGCGGTGCCCACCCAGGCGCCCCCTCCTCCTCACTCCTCTTGGAGACCACAGCTTCCTATTCACTACCCTGGGGCAGTTAAAGCAGCCCCGCCCTGCTCCCAGCTAAACAATAATGATGATAATGGCAATGATCATAATGATGAAGATAATGTTAATATAATAATGATTATAATAATAATACTGACGATAATAACAACAGAAGCACCCATTTATTAAGCTCTCCTTGTGCTGCGTGAACAAAACACTGAGGCTCAAAGAGCATTTTTCACACAGCATAGGAAGGGAGCCAGCAGGGACTCAGACCCATCCCAGAACCCCCAGCCTTCTGGCAAACTCCAGGGAGATGGGAAGCTTGAGGCGGGGGAGCCACACCACGCGTGGGCCGTGGCGTGGGGACAGCCAGGCAGTGGGAACGGCTCTGGACTCTCACATCCGGGATGTGGCACAGGCCTGGGGGTGGGCTCTGGACTCTCACGTCGGGGATGTGGCACAGGCCTCAGGTGGGCGTGGACAGGACAGGCATCGGCCTCAAGTACTCCGCGGACCTAGCTGGCCCTGCCCCCGGCATTCCTTCACACACATTCTTTTTTGCCAGCGGCCCAGCCCGCATCAAAGGATCCCAGCATGCTTCCCAAAGCCTGGAATTCCTTTGCTGGGAATGGGAGACAAAGCCGTACACTCTATCATCAGAGAAGAAAGGCCCAAAATGCAAACACACGGCCAGAGAGGCTGTTGCAGGCAGGAGTTTCTGAGTAGAGAGTGTCAGATCCCCTCCTACTGAGTGTCGCCCTCCCTTCCGAGACAGCATGGGAGCCGTCAGCCTACGAACTGCAGAGAACTCTAGGAAGGAGCCCTTTTCTTCCTGCAATGAGGACAACCAGAAGCTGTGGCCACGGCACCTGCGGTCCCCGGAGCCTGGGCACTGACGTGAGGGAGGAAGGCGGCACCTCCCTTTCCCCCTGCCCTGGCCACAGGAACCTCAGGATTGAGAGCTCATCTGCAGGTAGGTCTGCCCAGGGAGGGGTCCTTGTGTAATGGGTCTGAAGCCCCTGGGGCCCTGGGGTCCCTACCCTAGGTCACCTGCAGGCATAAGTTGCTCCTTTCTCTTCAGCTCTCAGGTGTGGTCAAGAAGTAGTGGACTGAACTAAGCAGCATAGTGGTCAGCATCACCTGGGACTCCGCCTAGAATGCTGGAAATGGGCATTCTTGCCCCCCACGCCCACGAGACTCACTGAGTTAGAAACTTGGGGTAAGGGCTGGCAATCGGTGTGCCCAACCCTCCAGGTGAGTGGTTCCGATATCTGTTCAGGCTTGAGAACCTTTGTGCTCAGGACCTCTGGTTACCAAATCATGCCACTTACAGTGACCATTCTCAAATGATGACAGAAGGAAGAAGGATGAGGAATACTTGAGCCTGGCCGGGCAATCCTTGGTTTCCTCACGAACCCTTGAGATCGGGTTAGATTTTGAACACCACTGGGACGTGCTAAGAGCTTCTCTGGAGCAGAGCAGTGCTCACATCAATAGTCCAGCAGACTGAGCACGGAGATGTCAGCAGACACACTTGAAAGTTTGGTGAGTGGCTGGGCGCGGTGGCTCAAGCCTGTAATCCCAGCACTTTGGGAGGCCGAGACGGGCGGATCACGAGGTCAGGAGATCGAGACCATCCTGGCTAACACAATGAAACCCCGTCTCTACTAAAAATACAAAAAAAATTAGCCGGGCGAGGTGGCGGGCGCCTGTAGTCCCAGCTACTCGGGAGGCTGAGGCAGGAGAATGGCGTAAACCCGGGAGGCGGAGCTTGCAGTGAGCCGAGATAGCGCCACTGCACTCCAGCCTGGGCGACAGAGCGAGACTCCGTCTCAAAAAAAAAAAAAAAAAAAAAAAAAAAGAAAGTTTGGTGAGTAATAATGAAAGTACTCAGTTCTGGGACTCATACTATATTGTTGACAGGTCTGGGAATAGAGTCTCAACTTAAAATTACTTCAGATCTTTTATCCAGGTCTGAAAACCAGAGGGACCGTGACCACAATCCCTGCCGTTTCCCCAAGCAGCATGGCTGTGGCGAGTTTGTTGTTCAACCCCGGATGGCTCAGCAAATCCAACGCCCTCTGCCTTGTACTATCGCCGCACGGATCTGCAGAGGCAGCTGTTCCTGCCCGGTGGCTTCGCCTTCTGCGAAGGACAACACAGAACCACTCTTTGAATTATTTGACATTGATATCCATCATAATTGGCTGACTCTGGTTGGTGGTGAGAGAACAAATGTTTCCAGGGATTATTAAACAACCACAAAAATCTGAGAGCGCGGTTATCTGAACGTGGAACAGAAACAAGACAGTAACGAGTTCCAATGTTCTTTTTTTTTTTTTTTCTACACAGGATTCAAACGAACTCAGAGCAGCGAGATCAGAATACATCAGTCTGACCTGTTTTTACTCACAACACTTCTGACACCAAGTGCGTGGGTTTTTTTCACACCGACAACCAGTTCCCCAACTCTCCAGACACCAACTGGGTGGCCTACGATTCCATTCAAATGTGACACTAACTCCACAGGCTCCGAGGCTCGGTCCCTCAGGACTGCCCTGAGTTCAGACACCAGCCTCCTGGCTCCAGCCCAGAGTACCCATATTTCTGTCCAACTTGGCTACAAAGTAGGGGGTTTCCTACACTCACCCCTCCATCCCCCCAGTTTCACATTCAGTAACTTGCTAGAACAGCTCACAGAACTCAGGAAGGCACTTTACTGGTACTGGTTCATTATTAATATAAAGCACTGGACTCAGAAGAGTCAGATGGAAAAGATGCTTAGCATGAGGTGAGGGGGGTGAGGGCCAAGGGGCTCCCCCATCTTCTCCAGCCTGCCACCCTCCCAACACACCTCCATGTGTTCACCAACCCAGAAATTCTCCCCATTCTCTCTTTTTTTTCCTTTCTTTTTGAGTCGGAGTCTCGCTCTGTCACCCAGGATGGAGTGCAGTGGCATGGTCTTGGCTCACTGCAACCTCTGCTTCCTGGGTTCAAGCGAGAATCCTGCCTCAGCCTCCTGAGCAGCTGGGATTACAAGGGTCTGCCACCATGTCTGGCTAATTTTTGTACCTTTAGTAGAGACGGGGTTTCACCATGTTGACCAGGCTGGTCTCAAATTCCTGACCTCCAGTGATCCACCCACCTTGGCCTCCCAGTGCTGGGATTACAGGTGTGAGCCACAGTGCCTGGCTCACATTCTGTCATTTGGGTTTTTTTTGTTGTTGTTTATTTTTTTGAGGATTCATTACATAGGCATGATTGATTAATCACTGGCCATTGGTGATGAACTCAATCTCCAGCCCCTCTCCCCTCCCCAAAGGTCAGAGATCTGAGCTGAAAGTTCTGACTAATTCCAGCTCCCAGCCCCTATCCTGAAGCTGCCCAGTCCTCCCATTGACATCCAAAAAACACTCATCCTTCTGGAGATCCCAAGGGTTTTAGAAGCTCTGGACCAGAAAACAGGATCAAAGACCAAGTATCCAGCCACAGCACCATCCACCTCTGAGGGCATGTGCTCTGGCCTTACTACGACAGCGGTGGTGGTGAGTCTGATACAGGCAGGATGACGCATGCTTTATCTGGAACCCCTGGCCTTGGACAAAATTTGCCTTCTGTAGCAGGTAAGTCCATGGAGCTAAGTCCAGGTCCACCTGCCATTGCAATTATGGCAGAGAATATTATAGAGGGAGCTGACGATTATGCCTAACTTTGGATTTGGGGTACCCTTCTGTTCCCCCCCTTCCTGCTCCGCTGACACTCACACCTGCAAAGGCAGTGGCACAGAAGCTGAAGTCAGGGCTCAGGACCCGATCTGTAGCCTGGCCCATGGGCAGGATCTGTTTTGAAGGCTCTACCAGCAGCTGTGTCCCAAGACAACTGGCAAGACACCGTCCCACTCCACAGTGGCTTCCTCCCCGTGGCGTCATCTCCCTTCCAAAGAGGGAGGAATTTGGACTATTACCCATGAACGATAGCAGGCTAAGAAACAAATTATGATTAAGGAAAGATTAAAGGAAAAAAAGAAAACAAAAACAAACCACCCACACCTACTGGCTGTACCTTTCCTGCATGATTTTTGCCACAGCATGGAAAGTGGGCCAATTGATATTTGCATGGGTGTTTTAAATATCAGGAGATCAGGAGATTTGCTCCTGACATCTTTTTTTTTTCAAAGTGCAACTGAAAATAGCACTTTTCACAACAATTAATTGTTAACTGGCTCCAAAGAAGGCCTGCTTTTTAGACATTTGGAAGGAATAAAAGGCATCTTCTCAGATGCTGGCCTTTGCAGAGGCAAGGTCAGTGGTGCTGGGAGGTGACTCCCTGCATTTCCGTATGTCCATTTCTTAAGTCGCACTATTACTTCCCTTGAGTAAGAAACGTAATATTGAGTAATATTTATTGAGCTGTGCGTGAGAGACTGTTCTAGGCTCCGGGAAAACAGAGAACAAAAGAAAAAAAAATGGCTGCTTTCATAGACACCACACACGAATAAGCACATAGGGAGTCGGTCAGGCGGTGACCCGTGCGGTGGAGAGAACGCAGCCGGCGGGACGCGGGGGGTCGAGGTTAAACCGAGGCAGTGGGGAGACCCCCATAGAAAGACGCGAGTTTCTGGGTTGCTCCCTCCAGCCAGCAGTTAATTTCAATTTTGCCGGGCGCGGTGGCTCACGCCTGTAATCCCAGCTACTCGGGAGGCTGAAGCGGGAGGATAGGTTGAGCCTGGGGAGGTCGAGGCTGCAGTGAGCTATGATCGCACCACAGCACTCCAGCCTGGGCGAGAGTGAGATCCTGTCTCAAAACACACACACACACCCAAACCAACACAAACAAAAAAAAAAAAGAAAAAGAAAAAAATTAAACAATTTCAGTTTGTTCAATTCGAGTCAGCTGGTGATTTGAGCCTGTCCCCAGTGCCCGTAGGACATAAAAGTGAAAATGGGATGGAATTCCCCCAAGTCCCGTCCTTTGGGAAGGATGGCTCGGAACAACCTGAAGGCGCAAAAGGAGTTGGTTTCTTCCCCGACCAGTTTTCCCCTGCTCCATGGAGTCCGCAAAGGCAGGCGGCAGCTCCGAGGCCGGCAAGTTCTGCGTCTGGGGGGCTGCGGGCCGCCCCTGCGGGACCGGGGGGAACTGGGCAGGACAGGGCGGCCCGGCCCACGCCCCGGCTTCCCCCTGCAGCCCGAGGGCACCCGGAGCTCACGGCTGGCGCCGCCCCGCGCTTCCTGCCTCGCCGCGGATCCTCCTCCGCGCCGTGACGCGCCAGGCTTTGACCAAATATGTCCCTTTCCCCTCCCTCGCCCGCCCCGCCGCCCGCAGGCGCCCCGAGCCGCGGGGCTGCCGCCTGGACGTCGTCCTGTTTGGGTGTTGCGGGCCAGCCCCGCGGGGAGCGCCCCCGGCGCGATGCCCTTCAGGAAAGGTAGGAGTCCCGGTAACGCGGCCCACGCCCCCAGCGCGCGCGGGGACCTGCACGGCCGCCTGTGGGTACCCAAGCCTTGGGTCCTCGCCAGGCGCGGAAGCGCTGTGCACCCGGGCTGCGGCGGTGCCGGCTGGGGCCGAGCGAGACGCGCGCCACCTTGTTCCCTCCGCCCTGCGCTGCGCCCCGGCCCCGCGTGCCCCTCCAGATCCTCCCAGTCTCCTCTGGCCCCGCGTGTCCCCTCCGGCCCCGCGCGTCCCCCTCCGGCCTCGCGTCTCTTCCTTGGCCCCGCGTCTCCTCTCTGGCCTCGCGTCTCCTCTGCAGCCCCGCATTGTCCCTCCAGACCCACGCTGTCTCCTCCAGACCCGCGCGTCCCTTCTGGCGACTCCGCGGCCGCCACCACGTGCCCGAGCCGGGAGCGGCACTTGCATCGAATTCCCGCTTCCCGCTGCGCTCCAGCCCGGGGCCGCGGATAGACCAGGGCCCCGGACCCGGAGAGACCCGGAGGGCGGCGGGATCCGGGATCCTGGGGGCGGGCGCGGTGCGCTCGGGGGCACGGAAAGGGACAGCGCGGCGCGGGAGGGAGGCAGCTCGGGCCTGAGTCCCGCCTCTGCCCCTCTCGCCCTCTGACCCCGGGGAAGTCATTTCAGCGCCCAGCCTCAGTTGCCTCCTGGGCAAAACCGGCGCTTGGATAGGGACGGCCGCGTGAGGATGGGAGCAGTCCCTAGAAAAGCAAACCCCGGCCAGCTGATGAGCGCGGCCCGCCCCCTCCTGCAGGGGCTACCCTCTGCCTTCTCCGCCCTGCGTGCCAGGACTGCCAGAAAGGCCCAGCTACCTCATGTTCCCTGCCCGCGCCGGGGGGCTCCCAGCGCACTGGACCCCGGTTTACAGGCCGGGTGGTTGGAGGCCCAGCACGGCCCAGAGCCCAGGGCCACTCTCAGCTCAAAGCCCGGGGAGAGAAGTGGGAGCTGCAGAAGTGTGGGGAGGGGGGCCTCGATTTGACTTTCAAATCAGTGTTGTGTGACTCCTGCAGACGGGGTGGGTGGGGGTGGGGGGGGGGGGGGGGGGGGGGGGGGGTCGGGTGGGGCGTTGGGAGCCTGGCCTCTCCGGGCACTGGGCCTGTGCCGTGCCGTCTCTCCCTCCCCCCACTCACCCTCCTGCCTCTCTTCTCTCATAACTCAGAGGCACGGCCAGCTTGGTGCTACGGTTGCCTGGAGGTTGTACTGGACTTGTTTTTCAAACAGAGGGTGCCTAGGTATCAGCGTGGGCTCCTGGCGGTGAAGGGGGTGGCTGCTGACTCTCCTGTCCCGTTGGGGTAGGGAGATGGGGGAGGGTGGCCAGAAGGAAGGTGACAGCCAGCAAGCAGGGGCTCTGCCACTCCTCTGTCAGCTGGGCACGTTTAGTCCCACGCCCACTGTCCTCGGTGTCTCCATTAATCCAGGCATGATGCGGCCACCTTGACACTCTGGGTTCTCTGGAGGCTCTCAGAGTTCTCCGCCCCCCGACTCCCCCCCGCCCCCACTCATTGACTGCAGGGGACAGTCATTTATCTCTGACTTCATCACTTCTGCCCACTTTTGTAGATGTAGGCTCTGGTTGGGAAACTCTTAAAAGGGACAGACTTCTGTTTGACTTGTTAGGGCGCTCAGTAGGGTGCCTTATGCGGCAAGGTATTACATAGCCAAGCTGCTAATGTATTGTTTGCATACGAAGATTTTGCTTTATGACAACGTATTTTAGTGCATTATTAGAGCACACGGGACAAAACATTTGCAAACTGCCAACCACGGTAAGCTTTGGTTTTGTTGGTTATTGTTGTTATTGTTTAATCTGAAGAGACCTTGCGGCATGAAGAGGAAAATGTTATCCTTCCATTTGGCAGATGCTCCTTCCGGGGGTCCTAGGGTATAAGAACCAGACTTGCTTGGCATAAGTGCTGTCTGCATTGTCCAGACGCGCTGGTGTGAGCCAGGGCACAGGCTCTTGGAGGCTTTATCTAGGCAGAGCTTCCCCAGTTGCAGATGGGAGCTCTCACTTAGAAGTAAACACAGCAAGTGGGACTGCAGGGAGCCAGGCCGTTGCTGGATTTGGTGCTGAGCCGTGGTATGAAGCTGCCTGGAGGGGACAAGGTCCTGTGAGGGACAGCACGGCACCTCAACCCTGCACTGTTGGGAGGTGCAGGAGATGCCAGTGCAGCTACTCTTCTGTATTTTTTGACCTTCGCGCTATCTGAATGTGTTAACTATTCAGAAAAGTAATTTAAAAATTGGGAAATGAAAAGACTTTGCTGCCTCCCTCCCAAAACCAAGAGAAGCCATCTGGAGAAGGCATCCTTTGCGGCTAGAAGCCAAACAGGGACAGCTGCGGATTCCCTCCCCAGGATGCACTTCTGCCTCTTGACAAGCTTCAGACTTTGGGATCAGCTCCGTCAGGGGCCCGGCGGGTACCAGACAAGTCAAGGAGTTTAATGATGGGGAGGTTTGGGTAGGAGATAGGAAAACCTTAAGGGATAGTGCAGAGCCCTGGGCATTAGCACCTCGAGGTTTAAAATGTCAAGCGGCAGAGCCAAAACTAGGGACAGCCTGACAGGGACTGCGGCCTCTGTCGGAGGGGGCAGGCAGTGTGTAGCCTGCAGAGAGGGAGCTGGGAGAATCCCCACCTAGACCTCACTCCTTCCTCCCTCTGGTCTCTCGGCTTTGACAGCCAGAGGGCCGGGGAGCCTGATGGAGTGGTCCATACAGGGGAGTCTGATGGGGCGGTCCATACAGGGGAGCCTGCTGGGACGCAGAGCTGGGTGAGTTTCCCTTTTGGAGGAGAGAGGGTCTTCAGGGCACAACAGAGAAGCAACCAAGGGTCTTAGGTGCTGGTCCTGTCCCTCACTTATGGGAGGAACTAGCAGACAGCTACTGAATGTAGTTACGGGAAAGGTGACTGGTTGCATGCCACGTCATTCATTCATTCTCTAGACTGGGCACTTGCTATGCACCAGGACACGCCAGGTACCAGCTGAACAGAAAGACATGGCATCTCCTCCCAGGAGCCCACCTTCTGTGCTCTCCACCAAGTGCCGTGGAGGGGAGTCAGAAGTGCCAGTGCAGAGTGGCTCTCAGTAGGAGGCCCCACCTGAGGAGGCTGAACTCCACAATGAGGAGGTGTGGCACTGGTTGACCTCCTGGACCGTCACACAGGCTGTGGTAGCGTTGGTGCCATGGTGCTGGCTCGAATGGAGCCAGAGGGACTTAGACCTCATATTCCACCTGTCCAACATGGACCGCAGTGTATGGCACATGGCAGGCAGGAACCGTATCAGGTGGGTGATGGCTGCATCTGGGTCGTGTCCCTACGCTCAGCGCGAGGCTGAAGCAGCAGCTGGCAGTGGCAGTCGCGGCCCAGGTTGGGGAAGGAGGCCGCAAGCATTGCGTTCAGGGCTCACAGCTCTTCCTGTGGGTCTCCAGGGTGATGGTTAGAGTGGGAGGAAGGTCTGCGTCTTTGGCCAATCTGTCTAGAAGAAGGAGAAGTTACTATCTTGATGTGAAACATAAAAGAAATTCATGAGAAGAAAAGGAGGCAGGAAGCACTTCAGCTGGACATGGAGAGGAAAGTCATGCATATCATGACTAACTTTGGGAACCACAATGGAGGTACGCTGGGGCAGTTCTTCCTGTGCAAGAACTTCTCTCCTTAAAAATCAAATAGATGGGCTGGCGTGGTGGCTCATGCCTGTAATCCCAGCACTTTGGGAGGCCGAGGTGGGAGGATCACTTAAGGCCAGGAATTGGAGACCAGCCTAGACAACATAATGAGACCCTCTCTCTACCAAAAACATCAAAAATCAGCTGGGGGTGGTGGTGTGAACTTGTAGTCCCAGCTACTCTGGAGACTGAGGTGGAAGGATTGCTTGAGCCCAGGAATTCAGGGCTGCAGTGAGCTATGATTGCACCACTGCACTCCAGCCTGGGTGACAGAGCAAGACCCTGTCTCTCTAAAGAGAAATAAATCAATAAGATAGGTGGTGTAGACGGTGACTCATCTCAGGTGATGGAGGCGTGGCTCTGCTAAGAGACTGTGGTCTTGAGCAAATTGTTGAGGTCCTTTTCAAGTCTAGAATCCTGTAAAAATGTCTTCAGACAGCAGTGTTCCAAGGATTCTTGCACATTCCACCTTCAGAGGGACAAGGGAATAGCAGGTGAAAGTTCTAATAATAAATAACAATAAGGCCGGGTGCGGTGGCTCATGCCTGTAATCCCAACATTTGGGAGGCCGAGGCAGGTGGATCACCTGAGGTCAGGAGTTTGAGACCAGCCTGGCCAAACATGGTGAAACCCCGTCTCTACTAAAAATACAAAAATTAGCCAGGGATAGTGATGGCTGCCTGTAATTCCAGCTACTTGGGGGGCTGAGGCAGGAGAATCACTTGAACCTAGGAGGCAGAGGTTGCAGTGAGCTGAGATTGTGCCACTGCACTCCAGCCTGGGTGACAGAGTGAGATTCCCCCTCAAAACAAACAAACAAACAAAACCAATAAGATATAAAATGCACTGTGAGGGATGTGAGGGCAATCTGGCTGTGACATCTGTCACCCCTGTGATTGCCAGGGTTGATTTGGCTGATCTAGCTGGCTAGGTGGGTGTCCCCTTCCTCCCTCACCACTCCATGTGCATCCCTCCTGAAGCTGTGCGCTTGGTCCAAGAGGACCACCATCCCCGATAGAGGAGGACCCGTCTTCGGTCAAGGGCATACGAGTAACTGTGCTCCTCTGCTAGAACCTCCAAACAAACTCTCAAAATGCACTGTGTGACCTTACTAGAATATCCTCCAGTTCCATCCCAAGGATTTCACTCTTTTTTATGGCCGAGTAGTATTCCACGGTGTATATGCACATTTTCTGTATCCATTCATCTGTTGTTGGACACTTAGCTTGATTCCATGTCTTGGCTGTTGTGAATAGTGCTGCAATAAACATGGGGTGTGGATGTCTCTTCACGCCTTTTAAGTTCATGCCT